GAACCAAATAACTCCTGTGGCTCTGGGAAATGTAAACTCTAAAACAGGAGTGATGCTTTCTAAAGCATCTGGTTCTCAGTCCTGGCACCTGGCTCAGGTGATGAATCCAGATGTTACTTTTTGTGGTGATGAAAGCTCAGCTCTGTTCATACCCCAAATAATCACTTCCTTAGCTCTCAGAAAAGCAGCAGTCTCCAGAGGTAGAATTCTGAGCACATTGCTGAGGTTTGAAGCCTGAGGTCGCTATGGGGCATCCCCTGCACAGATAAGAAGGCATCAAAAGTCACCAAAACATCTGCTATTCACTCTCCTGGGATGAGATTGGCCAAAATTGGGCCTCCAGGAATCAGACCTCTGGCTGTTTGCCCACAGAGCCAGGGCTGAGCTCTGCAGAAAGGTGAAGAAGCAAGCTGGGGCATATGCTGAGGATTGGAGCCACCTGCAAAGCTCAAAACTGTGCAGTTTTCTACTTTCATCCTTGAACTGCTGTACTGAAACCCACTCAACTCATTGACAACACTTGGGAAAAATACAAGCTTAGTGATGGGGAAAGAGAAGCCCAAAAGAAGCCTGGAAGTTGTTTTCATGCAGGAAGATGATCTGCCAGAAAGATTATCTTCTACAAATTGTTTGCCTGCAGACGGCACCGAACAAGAGTTCCATTTTTCTCCTTGGCAACTCATGCAGGCGAGTGCTGAGCAGAAGAGCTTTGGTGGCATGGAGCAGCCAGGATGCTGCTGTCCCCATCTATCCACTATGGTTGCATTCAGTCCTGCTGGGTGGATGCAAAGCCATTATGCTGGGAGAAAAACAAACCCCCAGCACTGCAACCATTTGCAAGTCCAGTTGTTGTTTGTCCTCCTGTATATTTGTCTTAATTAAAGAAAAGAGCTGCTTTAGAGCTTGAGAAGACTCCAGGATGCACTTCTTTTGTCTTCTTTTCAGGAAGCATTTTACACATTTTTCCATGAGGGGAGAGGAAAAACATTGCACTAGAAGAAGATGGAAAAATGGGTGGGGGAAAACATAATCCAAACCCATTTGTCATCCTCTGCTGCTTTGAGACTTCTTTTTTGTGGCATATCTGTCTCACTGAAATGAAAGTTTGGGGAGGGAATACATTGCTTGACAACTCAATCAAGGCGTATTGCAGGACCTGCACTGAAGCACTTTGCTTTGCTTACTGATCCTGATCTTTTCTGACCTCACTACTTAAAAAATAATGCCTGGTAAATTTCAAGATAGAAATATTTCCTCTGGAAAATTCAGACTGAAACATCTCAGCAGTCGTCAGTGCTGCTCTGCTCACTTTGGTTGCCTGGGGAGCTGCAGCTTTGGTTGATTTAGCAGAAATTATTTGACCTCCTCACTTCAGCCCCCCAGAACATCTCCTGGTTTGAGAAACAGGAGGGTTTTCTTATCGCTGGTGAAAGAGGAAAATTCCCAGATACATGAACAGAAAAACAGCACTGGAGATGGATCAAATTGCTTCCCCCCCCCGGCTTTTACATGGCTGGCAGCAGCTCTGTAATACATCAGATTCGGTTTCCCCTGGACCTGGATGGGAACTGATGTGAGCACGACCCCCAGTGCTACGTTGGGCCCTCAGGGCTGAGGTTTTCAGAGGCAGTGACCCAAGTGATGCTGGATGACAAACCCAGCGCAGCTCCCAAATCCCAGGTTTGCACCTCAGGACCAGCAATGCAACCCTGCAGCCCTTCCTTCCTTCCATGAGAGACGGGCTTTGGGCTCAGAAATAAGGATTTATGTAAATGTTGTTCTTTTATATAAAAGAAAAAAAAAACAACAAACGTAGGCTTGTAAACATCGCTGAATGGCATAATAGTATGTAATCTGCCAGAGTTTTCAACACAGTGCTACAGTGCCTATCTTAATTGTGATAAATTATTTCAAAATGAGTGGGCGTCAGATGAATTGATTGAAAGACTGCAGCGTTACCACTTGCAAAATCTCTTCTAATGAGGGACTTCTTAAGTTTTGGGTTTCATGAGGCTTTCAGTCCATGAGCTCCCTGCTGGAGATCCTTTTGCTTTCTGTTCCCATTCACAGAGGAGCAGCTGCTGAACTGCCCGGCCCAGTCTGGCAATAGGAGCTTCCAGGAGGCTGAACAGCATCCTTCAAAATGAAGCAAACAGCCACATCCAGGAGATGCAGTCAGTTAGGAGGTTTTGTACACTGAGATGCCCTAAATGAACATATTAGGCCACAGCAGCACACACTCTGCTTCAAGACAGTAGCAATTTGATTCTTCTTAACTGAAAGCAGAACTCAGAGTACCCATGTGTCAATTTTGACTGAAGTAAAAACTTTCCAACTGTGGTTTATGGAGTGATTTGGACGTCATATCTCACTCAGGCTCTGGGCTGCTCACCCTGAACCAGTTCCAGCGTTGCCCCTTCAGAGCCATGTGCAGCACCAGCAGGGGATGGGCACTGCAGAGCTGCTCCATCCTTTGGTTCTTCCCAACCCCATTTGCAAGCTATCAGATGCATATTCCCAAATATTCTGACTTTGGGACCACTGCAATATGCTGACATTTCTGTGTGACCATCAATGGCAGGAGGTTGTCTTCCCAGCAGAAAAAAACCAGCCATGGACCAAAGGAAACTAAGGAGCCACACGTGGCCAAAAAGAGGATGTTCATCCCTTTCCACTTCTCTCACCAAACCATTTCCATCGCCCTGTTGGAGGTGACAGTTGTTTTCCCAGCTGTCCCCTCAGGAGCCATGGTGTCAAGCCCTCTGATTGAATTACTACAGATAATTTATAGGGAGGTAAAATGGAATGAAAAGTAAAGTAACCAGAAATTAGATTATTTTTCAAGGTACATTTAACTTACTGTGACATTTGTGAGCAAGAACCTTTAACAGAAACAAGCAAGGCCCATTTGTCTGAGAGTTTAAATATTTAATTCCCAAGAAGACAGGCACAATTTCTCTGATCGTAATAATTATTTTAGACTAGATCAGAAAGAGAGAGAGAAGCTTCGAGCTGGTGTAATAAAAAGGTCTACCAGGACAAGCAATGACAAATGGGACATGTGCTGGAAAACCCCACAGCAACGCAGGGGTGAGTGGCTCAGGGCAGCAGGGATGGTGCTCTGGGTACCAGCACTCATCCCACCTCATCCCATCGATTGCCAGTTCTGCAGCCATGGGCAAGCCAGGTTGTTTCCCCTTCCTTCTGTCCTTTCTTTTAGGGCACAAAACCTTTACAGCAAAAGCTGCAAAGCCTACATAAGCCCTATACCAGAGCAGTGCTCGAGTCCTTCATTTGGCCCCTGTTTTCCAAACATAACAAAAACAGGCACTCAGGAGGAAAGCATTTAGCCAAATTGGTTTTAATTACCGCAGAACTAGCTGGCTTAAGTCTGAAGTGGGTGCATGGGAGTTCCTCATCTAATCCACAAGGTTTTGCTGATGCTCTGCAGCTGGGCAGAGCTCGCAGCTGGTGCCTGAGGCAAGGCAAGGGCTGAAGAGTTCGTTACCAGCCCAGTCCTCCTCTGTTAGACCATTAAGAATAATATCCCCCCTGTCTCTTCAAGTGAGATTTATATAGATTATATTATTTGTGAGTAATTAGGAATAGGAATTAAGTTTGAATAGATTAACTATCTGCAATTATTCTCCCTGCGCTTACACCAGGCCTGAATGCTAATCTGAACGCTGCTCTCCTTCCTAACAATGAAAAGGAAATGCGTTTGGCTTTTTTTTTTTATCATTGAGGTGGCCTAATCCAGGTTTCTGTGCCAAGGCCCATGGCTCGTTGTGCAGAGCTCGTTACACAGGGCCCACTGCTGGGGCAGTTTTCATATCAGGGTTGTGGGGAACAGATTCAAAGCACGCAGATGGTGCCCACCTGCAGAAGGTGACAGCAGGGCAGAGGAATTTTAGTGCTTCTGAGGAAAGAGGAAGTGCATTAATAAATTAAAGTTAAACGCAATGGATGGATGGCTGTGCTCGCTTCAGAAAAAAAAAAGTCACTTTATCTCTAAATCAACCAAATAGAATCAATTGTTCTTTCCACACTAAATGTGATCCTGCTCAGCTTCACTTTGTCCTTTGATCAGTTAGACTCGAAAGCTAAATAGCTAAATTAAACCCCTGAATTAAACAAGGGAGATGCCTTCAGCAGCACACTCAGAGATGCACATCCTTGATAATCTGAAATCAGACAGCCACAGGACAGACTTCCAGTGTTGCAGACCAATGCTATAGACTGACTTCCAAGAAGTAAAGCCATCCAGCCACGGATCAGACCCTGCGCCTGTCTTAATTTTACCACAGTTTTGCACAGTTAGAGACAATTTCAAAGAGGAGACACAATGGCAGTCCCACACTGCGTGGGGACCACAGAGCCCAAATCCAGCAGACCTGCCCATGCTGGCACTGGTGCACACATGGGCTCTTACATCACCATGTAAAAATCCCAAAGGGTCCTGGGTGGGAGGATCAGCAGCACGCATAGTTGCTGCCCCAGCACAATATTTTTGCCAGTTCTTTGGATTTGCAAGAGGATCAGAAGCAGTAGCATTGCCAGGAACTTAGCTCTGACAGCCCTTCCAGGCAGTAATAATTATTCTGACCTGCTTACATGGGACCATCCCTTACGCATACAGATCAGGATGCTTGCAGCAGTTGGAAAGAAACTGTAGCTTTTTTTCCTTGACAGGCAACCAGAATGAATTCCACTGCAACAGCAAGGATAGCAGTCTGACTACATGTACAAAAGAACCCAGTCCATCAGACAAGTGGTTAGAGCAAAGGCTACCATGTTGCTCACTATCTAAAAGGTTAATAAAAACCTCTCAGCAGGAAGATAATTTTTATGTTTTATTAATTGCCACATCTTGATTATTTTACTAATTTATTTTTCAGATTGCCCCTAGAAGCGTTCTTTGATGCACTGAGGTTATTTGTGGGTTCTTTGTGAATATTCCCAGGCAGCTGCTGAAAAACAAGTACACTGAATGGAGTGAGCAGAAGGGTCTGTCCAAAATGAAGAACAATAGAGCAGAGAATCAAAAAGAATCAAAAATCCAAGGGAATTTTAGTCCATGCACAGTAAAGAGGGCTTCTGGTTTAACACTATCATCAGTTCTTTTCTGGGTTAACACTGAAAATTCAGTCTAAAAAAATTCATTGATTCAGTAGTAGCAAGAACTTGGCATTAGGAAAGGAAGGATGCAGCGAAACAGAAATTTCTGTTGGGAGAATGCATTTGATACCTCCCAGCCATCCAGAAAGCTCTTGGGTGAGCTGTGAAGCCCCCAGGTGGGCTCTCTGCCACTGAGCACAGTGAAGCTGTTACTTGACAGGTGACACCTCCATGCTTAGTGGCAGCATGTGTCTCCAGCCCATCGCTCCACATATCAATCATCACAATGGACTGCGCTGTATTTGTATCCAGTTTGATTTATAACCCACTGAAGCCAAGGGAAAGACCTGCCTTCAATTTTAGTGATTGTAGATAAGCTCCTAATTTCACGCTTTGTCCGAGAAGCAGATAAAATGGATCTGAGAATCGTTTTTCCCTTTGAAAATTAATCTTCTTTAAACTACTTCAAGATGCAGAATTATTTCCAAAATGCCCCATAATAGAAGTAACTGGTGTACTTGAAATAAATGGATTTTACAGTAATCAGGTTCGTCAGCCTGGCTTTTTATCCTGTTTATTGCCCTGTGAACTCCTCCATCACAAACAGCAGCTCGTACAAATACCAAAATAAGTCACTGTCAGCAAGCTCAGAGGACCTGAAAGATTTGCTGTAATCATACAGCTGGCGCTCAGCAGCACCTGAAAATCACAGTGCCTTCCGTGTGTTTATCTGATTCAATTACAAGGTGCTCTGAGGAACTGAAAACACTTTCCAAACACACTCATGCAAGAGTGCCAGAATGCTCAGTGTTCCCCAGCCTGTGGTGCCAGCTCTCTCATCTGCGGGGTTGGTGGCTCCGTGGAGATGGGATGGATCCCACATCTGCCAGGAATCCTATAGTGGCACTTGAATGGATTTATTAAAAGTAAGCATATAATTAACGGATCTTCACTGCAAAATGTGGTTTGCTAAGAGGCATAATGTGTCAGGAAGAATCTGTGTCCAAATATCCTATCTTGATCATTTTCCAAGGGGCAGAATGGGAGTGAGCAGTCCAAGCAGCCATCCTGACATCTGGGGAAGGAGGCAATGTTGGGCTTATGCTTTTCGGGGTGAATTCAACCTCCACTGTAAAACAGAAGTGATTTTCTAGGGAAATACAATTTAATCTCAATACAGAGTGTAAGCTACACCAAAATTAGAAAGTTTTGTGACTGTATTTCACAAAAAAAAGAAGTTGAGATACTTTATTAATTACCTTTTGGGTGCAGGGTGGGAGATCTCTCGGAAATCCTGAAAGCTCCTTGGGGAAATAGGAGATGTGCATTTCTTTCCACTCTGCTGGAGATACATGCTTACACTGAGACTGAGGTTTACACCTGGAAGATGACAACATAGGTCAAAACAGGCTCTGCAGAGCAGCTATAACCTTCACTAAGGGTGTGAACACTTCAGCTTAGTCTCTTTCTCCTCTTTCTGACTCATCCCAACACAGGGTATGGCTTTGGACCATGCTCTGTCTTTGCACAGGATCTACAGCGCAGAGTCCATCTGTTTTTCACATTTTCCTCCAGAAAATGTCACTGAAAGTTTATTTTTCCTCACCTGCCTTTTTTTTTTTTTTAATTTACTTTTTATTTAATGCATCTAAGTTATCGCATCCATTGAGGAAGAAGAAGTAATATCACATGATAGGTGTGCTAACGAACAACTGGAATTCATTAAGTGGACAGCAATACATTTAGCAAGCATGTTTGTGAACAACCCAGAGATTGAAGCATGTTTGCAGAAAAGATCTATTGAACAGCTAGGAACAAACAAATTAATAAAAATCTAAACCCAGACCTCGCATGTTAATGATGGAAGGAAAAGCTGTAAGCCCATCAATAAGCCATTAAACACGATGACATGGACTCATTCCCAGCATCTCAGCTGGACTCTCTGCTGCTCGTGCTCTCACTCCGAGGTGGTCCATGTGGGATATCGTTGTCTTACCCCAGGGATCCCAGAGCCCTGCTACCACCGAGCTCCTTGCACTGCTGCGCATCAGGATGCCTTCCCCTGGCATTGCCTGCAAAGGAAGGCACTGAAATATCCTCTCCTCTTCCATCCTGGAAGGAATATTTTTATTATGATTGTTTTGAGATGAAATGGTTTCATCTCATGCACCAATATTTTAGGGAACCAGAAAGTTGCATGCAGCATTGCTTTAGAGCCTCAACATTTCTGTGTGCAATTTCTTTTGCTTCAGAATGAGAAGAAAACGGAGGGAGAATTTCCTGCATGAGTGAATTCAGCTCACAGACAAGTCCTAAGCATGTGGGCAGATACAAGGAGATTTGGAGAGGCTTTGATATTCTCATAACAAGAGCAGCATAAATCCCTAAAGATGACTGATTTCAGGAAAAGAATTCAAAGTATCCACTGGTGTGAATCCATCTGCAGTAACAGAGATTTTCTTCACTTAATAGCATGATCCAAAATGGCACCAATCTGCACTCAGCATCCTGTGCAACAGAGATACAAAAAACCCCAAAACTTCTTCCCGGTGTTGGCAAAAGGCTGACTGCACTAATGAGGTGAGATTCTGTATTCTCCAGAGCAACCAAGAAATTATGTTTAATTACAAGAAGAGAGCATCTCTGCTCGTTGAATACAGTGCATCGCAGATGGGAATGATTCACTTTGCTCGACTGACCTGAGTACAGAGCAGGGCAACCCAAGCTGTTATCCCAAGGCTGTTATTCCAAGCCAGAGGATAGAAACTCTCATTCATCCTAAGGCAGGTACTAACTACATGCCTCATCTACAAACAAAACCATTTGCAAAGGGATCAGACTACAAAAACAACATGAAAGGGGTCCTAATTCTCTTTCCAGGAAGGCCAGCGATGTTCATTGACTGAGACAAAAATTTAGAAGATGATACACTTCGTAGTAGCTTCCGGTTTTCTCCTTTTCAGAAGTTCTCAGAAATGTCACAGAGACTCTTCAGAGCACATAGCAGTGAATGGTGCTCAATTTGCAATGCCTGGACAAGTGCTCCCTACCCCTAAACCAAGTGAAGGAGTTTTGACCCCAGCTCTGCCAGGGGACCACATCACCCTGGGCACAGCCTTCTTCCACAGCAACTGTGTTCTGGTTTCTTGTTCTGAATGAATAAATGCACCCCTACATCAGGGCACTGCAGCACGTTACTATAAATCCTCAGTGCCCATTCTTCAGTGGTACATGGGGAGGATGTCATGCTGGGAGCATTAAGCTGCTGAATTGCATGCCTGTGTCACGGAAAGGAAAGAAAATAGAATTGACAGCAGATCTGCTCTTCGTTGAAGCAATGAGGCTGCCCTAATTAGGGCTAATTGCAGCTTTCCATCACGTTAAATTGCTATGCAGAATGATTCAAGTTAGTCCATCAGCAAGTTGCACTGTCTCTCTCCCTTCTCCCTCCCCAGAATGTTAGATGACACATGTTTTTTAATGTGTACAAAATGCAGAAAGCACTGCTCATGGGCAGTTGCAAAGACAGGACACACTGTAGTCTGGAATGGGCAGCAGCTTATTAGGAGCTGGTTACAGGTGCAGACAGCTCCATTAGTGCTCAGCTGAGCTGCAGCATGCGTGGGAGGGAAGCAGAGCCCTGCAGGTTGGTGAGGGAAGAGTTTGGGGCAGTAGAAAGCCATGCTGGCTCACCAGGACTTGGGGCTGGGGGAGTGCTGCTGTACAGCCTGCATCTCTCAGGTATTCACGGTAAGTATGTCTGCTTTTCAAGAGAATTGGGGTTTTGCTGAAACACATCAACATCTAAAACCTTCCTACCTTTTTTTCCCAGAAGCACAGTGCTTTCCCAGGCTTCCTCGTGCAGAACAGAAAGGATGAGTCACTCTTCCACCATCCTCCAAAACTTCTCAGGAAGAGCTGACAACACCCCGCTGCTGGACACAGCAAAAGAAATTCCACCCACAGTCCATTTCCAGCTAGTTCTGACTAACACATACATGGCTAACAGGGGGACCTGAATATGCAAGGCCACAGAGCATCAAAGCACAGTTATTTATAAGACACTATCTTTTCTAGGCATGCAGACAATGTAATTTAAGACCAGGCAAACATCTGTTGGCAATTGCTGCTCATGGCCTGGGTCTGTTCTGGCTCAGCTCCACATGATACTCCTGGCAGGAACTTTCTCCTCTTTGCTCCTCTTCCCCATCAGCACTCATCATCCTGAGACAAGAACACAGCCTAATTATAGGTGTCAGCAAGAAGAGTTGTAGGCTTTGCTTTCTGGCAGGATGGCCAGCTTTGCCTTTGTCCTGTGCATTTGGTCTGTAGCCAAAAGTGAAATCAAGACAGAGAGACATGATTTTTATTTAACAATGGATGATGTAGGTTCAGTACGAGCGCATTTTGCCATAATTGCTCTCTTAATTTGTGATGGCTGTGCAGCAATAGGATTTTAAAATGCCCAGGCAGACCATGGGAGGCCTTCAGACTGCAATAACACTGGTGACTGCTGTCAGCAGCTTTGCTCTTATGCTACTGCCAAGGAGAAAATGAAATCAACCCCTACAATTGTTGCATTGACTCCATGTTAACCTTGCCACTCCCATAAACATCTTGTGGGACTGATTTCCTTTCAAAGACCAACTTGTCGGTATTAAGACACCTCATTTAAACTCTTTGCTTTGCTTATTCTCAGTCCCCCAGCTCTTAGTAGCCTCTCTCGATAGCCTTTGGAAATGAAAGAGCCCCAATTCCAGGCATTTCTTTGCCAAAAATTCAACTGATTCTACAAGTTGCTTATTCAGTTCACTGCCTGCCATGTGGGGACAAATATCTCAGGTGGCTTTTTGTGTTCATGGAGGTGAGTGCAGAGGTGGATATGAGGTTGGACAGATTTTCATTCTGACAACACTGAGCCCCGGACCATTTAGAAAAACAATTCCCAGACTCACACCCAACAGATCTATTAGCCCAACAGATCTGGTACAAGTGGCCCCAGTTCAGTCAGATTTGACCTCTGAGCATTTGTACTGTGGAGATTAAAAGCGCTGCTTGAGTGAGGTTTTTCTTGGAAAAAAAGTAGTGCAGATTTTTCTGAACAAGGAAAAAGAGGTTCAGGTGGTGAACATACACATGTCACCTTCACTTTGAAGTGTCCTTGATGCTCTCTGTCCCCTCACACCTTGGATAGCACTGAAATTGCTTCTACTATGCATGGAAGCTGTTCCAAGCCTCAGACAACAGCCACTTTTGGAAGCATAGTGTTGAGATGGCACTTGATGATGGATGGGATCTGTGCGGGGCACACTGGGAAGGGCACCAGGAATACCACTGTTACTGAGAGGATGCACTGCCTGCCCTCATTGCAAAGGTTTGACTGCAAATTTGTCCTCATAAGCAGGGTCAGCAGTGGCAGCAAGTCCTTCACCTGGTGATGACAGCCCCCAGTGCAGCAGAGGGAGGTGTGGGCAGATCCTAAGATTTATTCCCAGGACTGCTACTGCCATGCTGCACAGATGGGAAGAAATCGTTTAACCTCTCTGCCTTCACTCTGCAGTTGTAAAATGATTACCCTCAGACTGATGCTGTAGGAGTAGTCTCAGGTGTCACGATGTGGTCAAGAAAAAGTGCACTCAGATGCTAAAAATATTTCTGATATGTGTCAATGTCAAGCTTTCCTGCAGATTGCTGCTAGATTCCGTCCTTCTTCCTCTTTTTGCTTAGAAATAGACAGAAAAAGCATGCTTGGTGTAATGCAATGGAAAGCACATCAATGACACGAGAGTAGCAAGGTCCTAGGCTGCAGCAAGTAAGAATTTGCTCAAATACAACAGCCACAGAAATAAAGGGAAGAAGCTGCTTACCTTCAGAAGGCCTCAGGTACGCAGGGATCTCCAGCAAAATACTCTCACCTCCCTTGTCAACACTTAAATGAGGTCTGGGAAAGAGCTTCCTCTCCACCTTCCAATCAATCAGGTATATCTCATACACCTGAGCTCCCCTGGGTTGATCCTGCTTTCCCACCAGGTGCTCAATTACTCTTTCAAGCCGTGACTTAGCATTTCTGCTATGTTTTGGCTGTTGCTGGCTATAGATACAAGGTGCTGTGCTGCAAAGCATGCCTATGTGCGGCTGTTTCTGGAGCTGCCCATCTGAGCCCATTCCTCCAGAATTTCTTCACTGTATCTGCCTGAATACAAGACACAAATCAGCACAATAAGCAGCAGTCTCCTAAATTATACTGGACCAACCGAAATCACCACTCCCTGTCACCAAAAGCACGTGCCTTGCTGTCTGATGCATTCATGGCTTAACCAACAATGTGGCTGTGGAGGTGTATTGAGCTATCAGTGGAAGTTCTCCTGCCTTGGCTGGTAGGAAGGGCTGACAGAATGAACCCAAATGTCAGGGACAAGAATTCAGGTCTGCATGCTTTGCTCTGCACTCACAGTGAGGCAGGAGCATGCAAAGGTTACTGCAGTGAAACAAGCACACTTGGGGACATCGTGCTTTGCTCAGGCTTTTCCTGCACACTGCCCTGACTGTCTGCAGGCTTTTCTTTTTCTGTTTCCTTCAGTGTCAACGTACTCAAAGCAAGGACTTTCTTCTTGGTGTTTACAGCAACTCAGAAGTGGAAATGAGCAAAAGTTTAGGATGAAAGCTGTTCAAAAGGCACGTTTTAAATTTTTTAATTTAACTATCTAATGACCTAATTTCTGATTTCTTCACCCAGACGTACATTTTTTGTTCCCACTTTTAAATGACAGTTCTTACAAAACTCACAGACTGGGCATCCTTTAAATATTAATAGCAAGATACCTCAACTCAAGAAATGAAAAATTACTCTCAGAGGAATAGAAGGGACCATTTTAGTTCATGGATATCTCAGCTGGCTTCTCCTAGCTGCTTCTGCTCCTGCCATCAGAAATTCAAAATTCAGCAAATTCTACACAAATTGAGCACAGACATTCTGAGGACCAGTGGATGCTCTCATCCTGTGTGGGAGAGAGTAGCACAGCCCAGCAAGCCAACTAGTAAACACCATTTTAAAGGTGAAAAGTAGCGATTCCAAAACAAATCCAGGAAGAAAACACTGTTCCATCATTTCTAC